TACCTAATCTGGTTAAAATTGCAAATTTTATACTATATTTATTTTATCATAATTTAAAAAAGTAAACTAAGAAAGTCAATTCCGTTTCAGCCTAGTTTAAGAAACACAAAAGTGAAGTGCTTGGGCTTAATCATGGAAACCATGGACTTGAATCAGACAAGCCTCAGAGAGCATCCAGTCCAGCTCCTAACCAGAACTTGAGTCCCCCTTACCCCCTCCCCAGTATGAGGGTCTAGCTTCCTCAGTTACTCACTTGCCAGACTGCTCAAAAGCAGCACAGGCTAGCCCTAAAATGAGCCTGGTGCCTCTGCAGCCCCCAGCCCCTGAGCTTCTGGATGGTCACAATGGCACCCAAGGAGAAGCCAGAGTAGAACAAAGGCAGAGGGAGATGGCAGCACTTAGAAGGAGGGACTGTGACCCACCTAGCAGCTGGGATATGGGACAAGCCTACATCATTTTCTAAAGACTCGCAGGAAATGTAATTGAATCCCAGGAGCAGTAATTGCCTCCTTGGAGAAATGAGCGACGTCTGGGAACGAAGCAATAGCTTTGGCAGAACCTAACAGTGTACAGAAATTGATTGCCTTGTTGTCTGTTCTATCTGTGTTCTGTATGTGTTGCTGCTGAGAAATAGACGAAGCTTTTTCTCCCAGGAAGGGGTGAGCTGGACGTCTGGCAGCACTACTGACAGACAGTCGTGGTGGAAGGTGGCGACCAGGGACTACAGACTCTAATTGGGACTGAGGACATCTAATCAGCAGCTAGAGGAGGCTGGGCCCCAGGTACAGAAGAGCAAACCACATATGAGCTGAACGGCTAGTTCTTCCCTGTTGGGGCAGGATAAAGTCAAAACACAATTAATAGGAGTTCCCTAACTGCCCTCTGAGTCATCTCAGGATTTATCAGAAAAAGTACCCAGTGGGTAACAACTCAAAGGAAGCTTATTTTTATAGCTCCGTGAGAGGTGAATAACACCATTTCACAATCAAACTGTTCTTGATAATTTACAATGCACCTGCATTTTAATGTTTGCATTTGATCTTCACGGAAACTTTCTAAGTAAGGAAAGATATGATTATCTCCACTGTTTGAATGAGTAAGCTTGTGTTTGGAGAAATTTAGTGATTTACTCAAGTAGTATTAAGTGACACAATATTAAGTGACAGGACAGGGGCTTCGACTCAAGGCCACTGGTTTTCTGAGTACCTCATTGGTTAGATCACAAATACTTTATTATTGTTAGGCAGCGATAGTTTCACCTTCAGATTCAGTGATGAATCAGCTTGTAAATACCTGAAAATTACTAGGAACTGTCAACAATAGCAGATTTGGGGATATTTAAGGACAAGTATAATTTTACGTTGGGAGAGAAGTGTGGACAAATTAGTGAACATTAGAAGATGCTGCTATGGTCTGAATGTGTATGTTGAAATCTTAACCCCCAAAGTGGTGGCATTAGGAGGTGAGACCTTTGGGAGCGGATGGCTTACTCAGCAAGGCCCAGGGAGCTTATTTGTCCTTCTACTGTGTGAGGACTCAGTGAGAAGGCATCATCTATGGAGCAACTCAGACCTTCACGGGCCCTCAATCTGCTGGTGCCTTGGACTTGATCTTGGGCTTCCCAGCCTCCAATCTGTAAGAAACAAATTTCTGTCGTTTGTTAGCCACTCACTCTATGGCATTTTGTCACAGCAGCCTGACTTAACTAAAACAGATGCCAAAGCTGGTATTTTCTCTTCTCTTCTCCTCTCTTCCCTTCCCCTTCTTCCTCTTTCTCCTCTCCTTTCCTCACCAATCCTGCTCCAGAATAACCTTTATGGGATCAATGTTAACCTTTATCCTGGGGGCCTCTTGACAATAAAAGCAAGTGGGTCCAGGTGAAGAGAAATACTGACTGTAGGTACTTTGTTGCCCTGCACAAGGCATTGTGTATGAAAAGTTGCACTGGCTTCAAAAGTGATATTTTGAGAGCTTAAATCCTCTTACTTAAATGTAAAATCTATTTAGAATTTGAATTTTTATAAATATACACAGTTAAACCGGCTCTCTCAGTGGCTTGTGACTTCATATCCTTGCTAGAAATTGCTTTTCAAAATTGTGGGATGTACAGTTTTGTTGTAAAGAAAGCAGAGCTGTGATTGAAACATATCCTAAAATTTGAAAGATTTCCTGGAAAACATGCTCTACCACTCTCATTCATTCCATGAAAAGGCTAAATCTTCTCTGAATACAAACAGAAGATATTTGAAAAGTTTCATATGCAATGCTTTATATCTACATGTGTCTGGATAGTCAGTAGTTTTGATAGTACTAAGGGAACTTTCTGAATGTATATCAGAGACCATAGGAAATGTCATGAAGTCAGTCTCCTACATTTTTAAATTTTCTGTAAAGTCCAACACTTCACTTACATAATCATTTCTCAGTAACACTAAAGAACCAGATTTAAAGACTATTTAAAGACACAGTTATGGGGGAAGTTAAGTTTGTGCATCATAGAAAGTATGTTAGAACATTTGCCAACAGGACATGTTTCTGATTTATTATTCCATAAAAATTGAAAAAACAAAAACAAAAACTTTCTGCATTATTAAGATATGCCTCAGTGTCTGAGGGGCAGATGATTCTCTATCCGACACCAGAAAAGCAAGTATTTCTTCTTCTGGCTTGGGCTAGTAGGAGAGTACAGTAGAGGCCATTTGCCTCCCAGGGTACCTGCCCACTGGGGATCGAACTCAGAACCTTGTGCTTGTGAGGCAGGTGCAGTGCCACTAAGCTAAACCCCCAGCCCCTGGTACAAGCTTTTTTTTTGGTACCAGGGATCCAACTCAGGACCTTGTGCTTGTGAGGCAGGCGGCAGAACCACTGAGCTAAATCCCTGGCCTCCAGGTACAAGCTTTTTAACAGATACTTTTCTAGAATTAAACCCATCACCCACTGGAAATGGGGGCTGAGGAGAAGGATGAATGGTTTACAACAGAGGTTCTCAAAATTTTAGGTCCAGGGCCTCATTATTCTCTTATAAATCACTGAAACCCCCAAAGAGCATTTATTTATGTGAGCTACAGCTATTGATACTTATCAGATTGGATACTGAATCTGAGAAATTATATATAAGAACAGACAAGCAAACATTCCATTAGCTATTAGAACTAGGTCATCATAACATATAATTTTTTTAGAATACTTCACTTTTTTTTGGTTTTTTGAGGTAAGGTCTCACTATGTAGTTCAGGTTGGCCTTGAACTCACTATGTAGCCCAGGCTAGCCTCAAACTTGAGATGATCCTCCTGCCTCAGGCCCCCAAGTGCTGGGATTACAGGCCTGTGCCACCACACCTGGCTTCTAGAACACTTATACTCTTAAGAAAACAAGAGTGAAAATGGTAAATAATGGTTTGATATTATTATGAAAACAGTTTCAACCTCATGGATATCTTCAAAGAGTCTTGAGAAGTCCTAGAAGTCTACAGATCACACTTTGACAACTGCTGACTTATACTTGGAGAATCTAAACTATATTACTGTTAATATTTTTCTCATTCTCATCTTTAATATGTGTAGAAGTCCATTTTCTGTTCCCAGTATAGCATAACTTTCTTGGCATTTTAGTCTATGTTTTTTAGTCAAATGGCAATGAAACGGTAATGTCTTTTTTGAGAACAAGTGTTTCAAATCATACTGAAAGTCAATGGGGAGATGGAATTCACTTTACAGAAATTTATTTTAGAAACACAACAACAAAGTCACATGAGAAATAAGAAATTCAGTAATATTATACATTCTGTGAACATGAAGCCATAATGTAGGACCATCACATTTACTTCCAAAGCCACAGTTCTATGCCTTTTGATATTGTATGAGTTTAGCAGGGATAAGGACATTGCAAATACTCCTCTCTCACAGTCTCTACCCATAGTGATCATGGCTAGACCATCAAGCTTTATCCATAGTGACCATGGCTACCCACAGTGACCATGGCTAGACCACCAAGCTTTATGACACCTACAGCATTTTTATGTAAAGCCATAAGACTCTCCCTCTCTGGTCTATACCCTTACAAGGCACCATTACAAATCCTCTTGTCAAGAGGTGACATCTTTTCTCAATTTCTAGATCTGAGCGGGCTGTGACTTGGTTTGGCCAAGGAGTAGTGGCAGCCATGATGCAAACGCAGGCTTGAAAATCACTTGTGCACTGGGCCTTGTTCTCCTGCTGGAGTTATCGCTCTAAGAACACCATGTGAACAAGCCCGAGCTAGCCTGCTGAAGGGTTAGTGGCCACACAGAAGAGTGTGTAGGTGCTCCAGCTAATGCCACACTATCATCAGACTTGCGAATGGGACCCTAGGGTGGCTGGCCTCCCAGCAGACCTGCTAACTCCCAGCAGACTCCCAGTGAGAATGAGCTGGGTCAGAGCCATCAGAAGAATTACCCAGGATGGTACACAGGATGGGGAGCTAAATAAATGCTTATTGTTTTAAGCTCTAAGTCTTGGGATGATTTTAGTACAGTTAAGACAAGCAGATACATTAACTTATATTTTATTTGGAGCTGCCCAGTAACACACTTAAAGTTAGAGAAAAGGTTTTCTGTGGGGCTAATACTATCATAGACTCTTCTGATACTTAACTTCCCTCTTTTGTGTTTCAGCTTTTGTGCTTCAAGGGAAGCAATACGTTCATGAAGGTCAACAGAAATTCTAATTCAAATGTAGGTACATTACAGTTTTTCACATCCTTTTTTTCAACAATTTCACCAGAATCTACTAAGGATGACATTCTAACATATGTGTTCTTTTCAAATGAGCTAGTATATGTTAAGCGCTCAACAAACTACCAAATGTCATATGTGTGAAGGGTGATAGTTCTTATTTCACAAAGAACAGAGCTATGTAATTGTTTGAAGGCTAAGAATGGGCCCCTCCAGAGCAACCCTTTCCTCTTGAGCGTCCCCTGTCTGTCTGTTCAGTAGCACCATGGTAGACAGTCTCCCGCTTACCTGGGACTTAAAGTAAGTTTCTTGTGGGGTGGCAAGAACATCTGCAGACGCGATGTCTAAGTGCATGAGTGTCTGCCGAAAAGAAGGCCGGTTTCGAGGTTTACTCTGCCTGAAATAAAAAAGACAGTTTACGGGTTTTGGAAGTTATGATCCGGAGGATGATGATTTTATTCTACCTTATAAAACACATCTGTTTTACTCCAAAATGGCTATATTGCAGACAATTTTGATGTTCTGAAGGGCGAAAGGAAAATGTAATTAGGAGATCCTGCCACTGATGAAATGGAAATCTAGCTAGGATCACTGACCTATATCATAGTCCCTTAGGCTGCTAAGGTAATAATAATATTGTTTACTAAGGCCTATTACTTCAAGGTGCAATACAAAATTCTTCACATGTAAGTTTTATTTAGTCAAAATGCAGCAACTCTATGAGCAGGTGCTAGTTCTAGTGTACAGAGGAGAAAACTGAAACATGATGATGTGACCCGAAGTACACAGATTTAAAAAAAGGCAAAGCCAGTATTTGAACCCAAGGTTCTCAAATTCCTTGGCTCCTGCTCTTTCCACCACCAACTGGTTCACTCCAAATACGCTTTGGAGACCTCTTGCTGTTTTCAAGCTTTATGTATACATTTGAGGAAGGAAGTACAAGAGGATATTGGAAGAAATATACTTCTTACCATGTCTGTTTCATAAGGATTTTGAATCCATCCGGGCAAGTGGAAGGAACTGGAAGGTGTAGGCTATTGCTTCCAACGCCCCAAATAATGGCTGAAGAATCTACATCTTTGTAGGGGATCTCTCCTGTCAGCAGCTCCCACAGTACCACTCCAAAAGACCTATGGCAGAATTAGGGACATATACAAAAGACATTTTGGAGTGACGGATCTGTATTTTAGCTCTTTATTAATTTTTTAAATGTTTGAAACATGGTCTCGTGATGTAGTTCAGGCTGGCCTCGAGCTCACTACGTAGCCCAGGCTGGCCTCAAACACATGAGGAACCTCCCACCTCAGGCTCCACACCTCACTAATTTTTAATCAAATCGATACACTCAGTTTTAAAATTCAAATTACTGCGATAAGAAAAACAGAAAATCTAGGATATCTCTGAAAAAGAAAATCAGTGAAGAGTAACTGACAATACCAAATATTAAGACCTAAAGTCTCAATAATTAATTCTGGTGCCTATGCAGAGAGTGTGCTCAATGGACTGGAACAGAAATAGAGAAATAGACTAAATGTATATAGAAGTTTAACATATGGTAGAAAGGCTATCACAAACTAGTGAGGGGCCAGGATTTAGCTTGGTGGCACCACGCCTACTTCACAAGCACAAGATCCTGAGTTTGATCCCCCAGTACCATAAAACAAACAAACAAACAAACAAAACCTAGTGGAAAAAAATTGACTAGTTAATAAATGGCATTGGGATAACTAGGGAAAAATTAAATCTATCCCTCCCTCCCCTATATCAAGATAAATTATAAATTAATCAAAGAATTAAATGTAGATAATAAAAATACACATCTTCTAAAAGATGCTGGGCATATTGGCTCACACTTGTAATCCCAGCACTCTGGTAGGCTGAGGCAGGAGGATTACAGGTTGGAGCCCAGCCTGGGCTGTTCAGCAACTTAGAGAGACTCTATCTCAAAATTAAAAAGAAAATGAACAGGGCTGGAGATGTATCTTAGTGCAAAGCCTCCAGATTCAATTCTCAGTAGAGCAGAAAAAAAAAGAAGAATATTTTGGTAGGTGTGTAAGGAAGGAAGTGCTAATGCAGCGAACGTGGGAGAAGACTTTCAGGCGCCCCTTACCATATGTCGACCTTTTCTGAGACGGGCTCATTCCGTATCACCTCTGGGGCCATCCACGCAACTGTGCCTGCAAAGGACATCTTGGTGCTCTTATCACTGAGTTCCTTAGATGTCCCAAAGTCTGAAATTTTCACTGCATCTGTGTGAGTCACTAAGACACTTTAAAAAAGAAATAAAGAAAACATACAGGTCATTAGTACTAATGAAAACCACAGCTCTAAATGGCCACTGAAGGTGTTAACTGCTTTCTGCCTCGTGAGAGACTTCAGTTTGCAGTCTGGAGCGTTACCAGGGACGAGTTATGCACCAGAAACAGCCACACTGGGCCCTGTGAGGCGGCCTAGCACCTGCTTTTATCCTGCCCTATTCTTCCTATCTGTGTAAGTTTTACCACGTTACTTAACCCTTCTAAGCTAGTTTTCTCGCCTGCCAAGTGGAGATAATTCAGGTTATGGTATCTTAGCCACAATTCAGAACTTCTAAAAGTTCTCAAAATAGCTTACAAATATCTGTTCACATTTATAAGGCAAACTCACTTCCTCTCATTTTGGGCCAGTCTCACAGGCTTCACCACAGAGATATTAATGTGGTCGACTCTGGGGGGCTCCTCGACTTTGCAGATGCCTGCAGTAACGCAGTGTGACCTTTCTGAAATCATCTGGCACTATGAGTTTTGGATAAGGGACTACAGGGCTGTATAGTGCCATATGGGTCATTCTCTAATGGCCTCTTCGAATTTTTGTATGAATTAAATGAGCTGAGATACATAAAGCACCCATACTCAATATATATATTGGTCTCCATCCTTACCAGTCTCAATAAAACCACTGAAGAAAATGTTTCTTTCTAAACATTATTTACATGATCCCAACTAAGATGAAGGGAATGATGACACCAGGGACTCACCCCTTAAAAGACTAATGTGAATGCTGGCTGGGATTTCACCAGTGCTGACAAGGAAAAGCAGAAATAAATCTAAGCTTAAGTAGGTTCCACACAAGTCATGTTTTATTTTTCACAGGATTTATCTGAAATGTGTCCTGGACCAAACTGCTTTTGTTAGCCTTAAAGATGAATATAAATCCAAAGCACTGGCAGCTTCCCACAGTAGACTGAATTCATTTGAAAAAAATATGTTCAGAACTTTTTAGAATGTAAAGGAGTTGGGGAGGAAGAGCCTTAATTCAGATACAGGAACCTATTCTTTTGACAAATAAAAGGCTTTATAGTCAATAGTATCTAACTTGATGAGGTTAGAAAAAAGAAAAATTTTCAATCTATCTCTTTCCTTCTCCTTCTACCTTGCCCACACCTGTAATCCCAAATGATTAATTACTGAAAAGCTCAAGGCTAACAATTGCTTAGAATACCTTCAGCCATATCCTACCTCTGGTTTTGTACCTGATATGTAAAATTCACATAATTTAAGAGTTTTGATTTGATAGTATTAGTGTTGGTGAAAATGCATGAAGATTAAAATGTTATGGAATATCTGAGATAATTGGGAAATTATTACCATATTCCATGAATGCTAGAAAAATGTTTTAAGCCCGTAGAAAGGCAAGCACTGTAGGAACTTCCACTTCTGCCTCAGTTGACACAGAGGGAATGGATTTGGGAGGTTAGAATTGATGCAATGTTGAGACTTTTCTGAAATCCTCAACAAAGTTAGGGTCCTACAGACTTTAGATTTAATGTAGGTAGTGAATCTCTTGTTACAGCGAATCAGATTAATATTTGGCTTCTTAAAGTTCACTTGAAATCTGGAGGCTCAGGCCGCCCAGGCTGGCAGTTGTATTGTTGATGGAGGAAGACTCACTAGATGACCAACCTACTACTCTGACCTTTAAATGACAAGAGTAAAGGAGAATACCATGTGATTGTATATATTCTAAGATTTCCTGATGCCTCTGAAATTTAATTCTCCATGAGAACATGATGGTTAAAAAAGGAGATCATTAAAAAATGCCTTTGGCAAGTATTCCACATACTTTACGTGTGTGTGCAGGGGATGGCAAAAGCAGCAGACTGTGTAAAGAATGTGAACAGAAGGAACGAACACTACATGTTAATGTTTATTTGCACACAAAGCAAGGAGGTTGTTCAGGGAACTAACTACTGTAATAAACACCATTGAGAATGATAGTGATAAATAAGAGGTGCTCTAAGTTCATATTCAAAGACAGATTTTTGTCTTCTAAGGAGAACAGGCAGGATTCATCATGAATCCCTTATCGTCCCGTGATGAGTCAGGATGCAGGCATCATTGGGTCAAAAGCTCTAGGTCAAGGTCTAGCACCATGACTTTGCGCTGAGGCCTAGTTCCTCTTATGTAAAATGAGAATAGTGATACTGTTACATCTATCCCATAGAGTTTTTGCCAGAATAAAAGAAGAGGTGATAGTGGGTATTTTTAAATGTTGTAAATCAGAAAAAGATTACATAAATAGATTTTCAAAAAGAGATCAGTCTTTCTATAAACCAAAACGATGAGAAATAGTAAAAATAATGTTTAAAAATAAGAGCTACATGGAAATATACCATTTTATCAATTCCTTTTTTGCATTCGTGCAATTTGGGGAACTGAATAAATACTTCTCTTAGAGGGGTTATTGGTTAGCATGGAATCATTTTGAAAACATAGATTACTAGAGACAGCTCTGCTTCTCTTTAGCCATTTTTCTTATGGCTGCTGTAACTATCAACATTTATTTTTCCTTTTGCTTAGATGCTCAGAAGTTCAAAGCCCAATTCGTAGTCCACCTCAAGTGACTGTGGAGAATTTTATGGCATACCATTTGTGAACAAGTCTTGCTTGCAATGTTTTTATTTTCTCTTTGTGTATGTTTCTTATTCATCCATTTTATCCTATTGTATACATTTATGAAATTCAGTTAAAAAAATTTTTTTTTGGAACACAGTAGAAAAACAAACCAAGACTTCAAAGTGGAGAAGTAAGGATTAATTATCTGTGATATTGAAAGGTGACTACTTCAGATAATAATGAATTTTGTTGCACACTTGTACAGTTTAAAAGCAATAAAACAGGAAAACTAGTGTACCTGAACATATCTGCCATATATGTAAGTAATAAGCTCAACAATAATCCAAAAAATACTTAGATTACCCACAGTGCTGACTTACTCTAAACTATAAGTATGATGTCTGAAAACTTCAATTATTATTTCAATTCTTATTTCAAATAACAAAACAGAATAGATGAACTCACTTAGGTGATTTCAGATCACGATGAATAATTTTATGGAGATGCAAATAATTCATTCCACTTGCAATTCCTGTGGACCAGTCTACTAGCAGTCGAGGTGTGATCTTCCTGCCAGCTCGCAAGACCTCGTACAGTTGTCCATGAGCACAGTACTCCATGATAATGCAGTAACATGGCGCCTGAGTGCACACACCCCTTTCAAGGAAACATAAGCATGTACATAAATGGACCCATACAAACAGATGTGTATATATATTTATATTTTAAGAATATTTAATAAAGACCAATTCTCTACCCCAGTGATTAAAAAATGTATATAAGTAATTTTTTCTGATGCTTGAATTAGTATTGAAGTTTTCTGTTCTACAGGTTACTCTATTATGCATATAGACAATTTTATTTTGTTCTCTTCACTCCAGATATCTATAGGCTGTACTGTAGGTGGTGATTTTATGCAGGACGATTGCATTCTGGAACAAACAGTATTTATTTCTGAGGCTTGTACAGGCTTGTGTGGTTTTAGATTGTTAAGAATAATTTAAAATATCTTCTTTTAAATGTAGAGAGAGGGTTTTATATGCAGTGTACAGAGCATTCAAACAAAATATTGCTATTTTATTATTATTTGTTGAATTTTAAATTACTGAAATTGAAAATAACTAGACTGAGGGCCCAAAAGAATCAATTTTCTACCTTATATAGTCTTTGAAAACCATTTGTTTAGAATGGAAATATTATAAAACATATTCGACCTCCACACAGCCTACATTTTCATCCTTTCCTCTGTCTTCCTTGAAGCCTTTCCTGATTATTCCAGTCCAGAAAGCTCTTTCTTTCAAGTTCCTATGACACAGCAGCCATTAGGTTGTTCTGTTTTGTTTCTGTTGTTTGTTTTGTTTTTGCAATAATGGGGATCGAACTTGGGGCCTTCACACCGAAGTACATTCTCAGCTCTTTTTTTTTGGTACCAGGGATCGAACTCTGGACCTTGTGCCTGCGAGGCAGGCGCTGGAACCACTAAGATAAATCCCAGCCCATTCTCAGCTCTTTTTATATTTTTATTTTGAGACAGAGTCACTCAGTTGCCTGTGCTGGGCTCGAACTTGTGATCCTCCTGCCTTAGCATTTTTACAGGTAAGGCTCAGAATGAAAGAGGCTCATCTTAACCACAGCTATTGGTAGTTCATACAAATAATAAGTTACAGATTCAAATTCAATCTAACCTCAAAGCCTGCCTCCTTTCCTCTCACTGTACTATACTGTCTCCTTTCTTAGCTTTTTAACTTCTGGATAGACAAGCATTTTGGGGATTCCTATGTTATTACCATTATCTCATAAAAGTGGAAAAATTATATTAGCTCTACTTCACAGTTTTGTTCTTAAGTTGAAAGGAAAAATTATAATATGTAATTCTCTGTGTTCCACCTCTGAAGGGAATGTACGCCTTTCTTAAAACCTTCTAGAAAAGTTAACAGAGTATTGTCTAGAAGACATCCAGGTGGTGATTCATGTCCTATTTCTCATGCTGCTGCAAGTGAGGAAAGAATTTAGAAGCCATGACTTGAGTACTGATTATGTGAAGGTCTTGTAACAACAGCAGGTTATGAAGAATTTAATTAGTCTCCATTTTCCCTGCTTTGATGCGCCTGTCAAATGCTGTAAAACTATTTCTATTACTGCCAAGCCATTTTCTAGGCTGCCTAGAATTTTCATCTTGATTTTTAATGAAAAAATTTCAAGTATCTGTTATTTGACTTTTATAAAATCTCAGTGGAGTACAAGTACACAGCAACTAAGTTTAATTATCATTGCAGAGATGTAATGAAAAGGAAAGGAGTAATGTAATGTGCTTAAGAATATCAAGATAAGTATTTGTTTAAAGGAATTTAGCATCCTATTTAACTATGTTTTAAATTGTCACACAAATATAGAGAGGGTCTAAGAGTGGTGTGTTATAAACTTTTCATCTCTCTTGACTGACAAATGAAATGAGAAACAGTCTCTGTACTATGACAAGGATTCTTAGTACCTATAAATAGCAGCTTAATAATCACTTAATTCTAATTGCTACCTTTTCTTCCCTTGGCACTGCATTTCATTAGGAAGAGTCACGTTGGATTTTCTTAAAAGATTACTAAAAAAAAGGAAGAAAAAAGTATAGTATTTTTATCTTGTACTTCCCTTTCTGTGCATGGTTCCTATGAACTTCAAAAGAAGCTGGAAGCACAGAAATCAGTATCTAGAGAGACATGTTAAAATCTAGTCATGGCCTTGTATCTTCCAGACAGTCCTGAATGTGATTCATTGGCCAACAACACATGGAACAGACGGGTGCACACATAACACTGCACAGTGCCCCAAGAGTGTGGTGTAATGGGCTGGGGACACAGTCTCACTATTGTTTTCCATGTAGAGGTAAAGACTGTTCAAGTATCTTCACCTTAAAGAGTTGGGTACTAGCACAGCAATGCTTGCTCAAAATGCTGAAAACTAAATGTGGAAGTAAGATCATTAGAAGGGTTAGGGAAGGAAAGACTAAGAGGAGAATGGAAGAAGCAAAGGCAAGGAAGGACAAATAAAGCTTCTCACTCATCCATTCTTTTAGGATACATTCCTACTTTCCCTTACCCAGGGCACCCTCCCAGAATGCTCTCTTCTTACCCGGGAGGCATATTCTAGATCATTTCAGGAGGCCAAAAAGCCATGCTGCCTCTAGAATACTGTACTCTTAGCCTCAACCTACTGATCTGAGCTCAAAAGGTTATGGCCTTTTCTTCCACTTGGAGGGAACAGCATGCAAAAAGTGTGATCCTTTCAGAGAAGTAAAATGAAGGAAAGAAGAGGGTCTCTTAGTCTATCTACTGCAAAGTCTTTCTATTATCTTCTGAAATTTATCTTCTTTGGAAAAATTACAGTTGGTTGCTATAGCATTTCATTTAGTCTCACTTCCTCATGGCCTCACTAGACCCATAATGAGAGAAATACAGCAGCAGCTGAAGCTCTCTCTCATGCCCTCGAACCAGTGTCCCTTGCACAAGGAAATGAGTCCGAACGCTTCCTTCCATCTTTTGGTATTCCAGTTGAATGCCTCTTTTTACTCGCATTTTCCCTTCCACCAAGGTCTTGTGAGGAAATAAAAACTTCACCTCAGTACATTTACATAGTACAAATCTGTTCTATCAAACCTGTACCCAAGATGTCTTTTCCTTACTTTAGGGCTATGATTCCAATGAAGACTTATCACATGACAATTTGAGCTTCGTCATGATAGTTTTACAGACGAAGGATCCCTCTTGAGGCTGCCAGGAAAAGTGGCTTCTCCTTTAGGGAAGGGAAATTCATAGTATATTTCACTTCTTTTAACTATAGTCTCATCAGTTAAACTATTTTCCAGGATTGAAAAATATATATCAAATTTGCCAGAAGCTGTAGTTTCTAAACCTTCACTCCACTTCAAGACTACAATTTCTGTTCTTTACTATTGTCCTCTAAAACCACTTCCCATTCATTTGTTCAGGGCAGTGGCAACATTTGAAGGCTGTCGAGCGAAGGAGGGAGCTTAAGAGAAAGAGAATACATGTATTTAGAGTTCGGCATTTTCAAATTTGGTGACTTCCACAAATCTACCTTCGACTTTCCTTTCTGTTAGGGATTCCAATCAATATTGAGAAAATAATGGTTTAACTAGAGAGATATGTTTGTACACTCCTGAAAATAAAATATTTTGTGAAATATAACATATAACTTAATATCGCCAATAATTCTACTATCATTAGATTTAAAAAACTGTGTGTGGCATTACTAGATAAGAGGTTCAAGAAAACCTGAGACTATTACAATTTAGTAATTGAGAACTGATGATAATGGAAACTAATTAATATCTATTGTACAAGGACTGTCATTTTCTGATCGCTTCAGACATTAACTTTGTGTTTTTAATTTGTTTGTTTGTTTTTTGGTATCAGGGATGGAACTTGGGTCTTTGCTCTTGCAAGGCAGGTGACGGAACTACTGAGCTAAATTCCCAGCCCAACTTTGTTTTTTTAAAATTAAATTTGAGGATGTTCAGATTACCTTGAAATGACCTTTGTCATCCCATTGATAAGTGAGGTTGACGCAGAAGATCTGGCTGCCTGCAATCTACCTCCTACCTCCGTGTGTATCCCTTTCTTGAAGCACAGGTTTTGGGAAAATGAGCTAGCTTAAAAGATGCTTACAGTCGTGACTCGGAATTATGAGCTTTTATGTGGCTTTGGTTTTTCTGTTTTCTTTCTTTCTTTCTTTCTTTCTTTCTTTTTTTGTGGTATGAGGGACTGAGTCCAGGGCTTTCACACTGAGCTAAATCTCCAGCCCTTTTTATTTATTTATTTTTCAAATAAAATTAATTCTGGGGCAGGATCTTGCTATATAGTTCAGGCTGGTTTTTTTCTTTTGGTACCGGGGATTCAACTTGGGTCCTTGCACTTGTGCAGCGGGCAGCAAAACCACTGAGCTAAATCCCCGGCCCTCAGGCTGGTCTTGAACTCACTGTGTGGGCCAGGCTGGCTTTGAACTCACAGTGATCCTCCTGCCTCAGCCTCCTGAGTGCAGGGATTACAGGCATGTGCAACCGTCCAGTTTGAGAGCACGCATGCATGTGTGTGTGTGTGTGTGTGTATGTGTGTTTGAGACAAGGTCTCACTAAGTTGCCCACCCTGGGCTTGACTGCTGCTGCCTAACCCTCCTAGAGTACTACGTTTACAGGTGTATGTTGCTGCACCCAGCTTTAATAGTTCTTTAGTACTGTCCCAAAGCACCTAGCACAGTGCTAAGCCTATTGTATATTCCCGAAATGTCTTTGAAATCAGGAACTTATGTGCATATATTTGGGGAAAGAAAGTAACTCTATTTCTTAAAAAAAAAAAAAAAAAGCCTTGACCTACTTGAAGGCGATGATGTTAGGGTGCTTCAACTTCCTCAAATGCTTGATATCCGTCTCATTCTGTTCTCTAACTTTCTTGATGGCCACCTCTTCTGCTCGGAATTTGCCCAGGAAGACGGCTCCCTGGGCTCCACTACCCAGCCACTGTAGCTCTGAGATCTCCTCAAATGGCACTTCCCAAGTATCTAGGCACACAAGGAGAAAACAAGCTTGATGAGATCTTAGAATCTTCACGGGTACCATCCTACAAAGCCACGCTGATCGGACCCATTTCATCATCACCTGGAGCGACCCTGCCCTCTGACTCCCCCAGCAGAAACAGTCTTTCTATGGGCCTCGGAACTATAGATCAGATATTGATATATACTAGTTTGCATCCTGGCTTTAATCACTGAAGTCAACAGATTGGTGAGAGCTCAGTGTTCTCTCCTCCTGGCACGCGTCTCACAGGCCTCTGACCCTGCTCCACCCTTAAGCTTGCATGTTCAGCCAACTTTCCTGTCTGCCTCTACACCACTATTCCCACCCCATAACCCTTACAGGTGTTTTATTCCTTTTCGAATTTCCAGTGCAGATGCTCAATGAATCCTTGCTGAATAAGCTTACGACATTCTGCCAAGAACCTAACTATGCATAATACTTATGTTGTATTTACCTTCCGAGGACTTACACCAGGCACCAGCATAGTACTTTACATATAGTGTATGTTTAACCCTTACAACAACTCTAAAAATCTGGCCTGATTGTAATACAGTATTTAAAGTTCAGGAAACTAGGCATATGGTGGTTAAATGAATTACCCAAGGCCCTATGGCTGTAAGTGGCTAACTGGGCCCTGAACCCCAAAGCCTGGCATTTCCAGGGAGTGTTTTCTCACTCTACCACCCAGCCTTTCATGAAGTAGCTGAGTGGATCATTGCTCAAGTCTCACAGGATTTTCAAGCTTTTCTTTTTCTTAAGAGTTTACTTTTTTTTGCACCAAAATTTAACAGAGGACATTTCTAAATGACACTACTTGTGACTTACGTTGTTTCTTCCTCCTTTTCTGAATTAATATTTTTATTTTTTTATTAAAAAAATTTTTTTTCCAGTACTGGGGATCAAACTGAGGACCTTGTACTTGTGAGGCAGGCATAGCACTACTGAGCTAAATCCCTGGCCTATATTAATATTTTTACCATAAGCTTATACCACTTTTATAATGAATTTTCTTTTAAGATAAAGCACTCCAAAAATTCACTGATACATACTTGTAATCTCATGAAATGTAATAATGCATCCATCAATCCTCCTCTGTGCCTCCCTTCTTACCAGAGCATTAGTATAGGTAAGAACTGAACATCAAAGAGCCAGAAGCCCCATGGCATGAGGAGCAGGGTGATGACAATGTTGAAGGTTATGGGAGATTCTCATCAGACCACTAAAAGGTCACTCTTTGCAGAACACCAAATAAAGTGGTGTTGACTTGACTTTGAAGATATTCCTGTCTTGAAAGCAAATCAACTCACTGTGTACTATGTTGATGAAGAAAGAGCAGAGACAGGCTGTCAGATTCTTAATAAAATGAGGTTTCTAATATAGCTACATGGAGCAGAAAAAAAATTATAGCGAAGGTGTTTTATAGCATAGGCATTCACCCCATTCTTCCTTTTTAGTATTAAAGGTTTCTGCTCTATTGAAAATGAATAGATGCTATATAAAAGGAAATCTCTCTAAGATACAAATAGCTCAATATGAAATCACCAAAGGAATAAATGACACCAAGTGAGATTTGGGAAGAAACAGCAAGTTATGGGCTTGGCTGCTTTGAATATGGATACGTATAGTGGCTGAATAAAATACTATTACTGAATTCTGGGACAAGAAGCTTAATTTTTAATTTTTTTTTTGGTACTGGGGATTGAACTTGGGACCTTGTGCTTTCAAGGCAGGCACCAGAACCACTGAGCTAAATCCCCAGCCCTCAAGTAGCTTAATTTTTAATACAACTACTAAAACTAGTGCAATGTTGGGTGTCTTTTTCTAAAATTTTCTACTTGATCCATGTGTTATGTATTCGTCATCATTTAAATTCGATTTTTTTCTTTACCTTATCTCTTCAGATTCACTTCCTAGGTTAAAGAGTAAAATGTTTCCTGACTCTTGGAATCTATTCCAAAATGCTATCCAAAAGGATTTACTAGTTTTTGTTGATAGTAGTGAAGTATGATGATGTTGGCTTTTTTTTTTTTTTGGTACTGGGGATTGAACTTGGGACCTTGCACTTGCGAGGCAGGCACCAGAACCACTGAGCTAAATCTCTGGCTGTTTTTTTTGTTTTTTTGTTTTTTTGTTTTTGGTACCGGGGATCAAACTTGGAACCTTGTGCTTGCAAGACAGGCGGCAGCATCACTGAGCTAAATCCCCAGCCTTGACGATGTTGGGTTTTACCATAAGTCTGCTAGCAGTATTATCAATTATTTTTGGGTTCTAACTTGACTAAGTATAAAATAGTGTTTTATAAGCTTGCACTAGTTGGTCCATAATACAGAGTATTTTCTACACATTTGTTTAATACATCTTCTTTCTATTAACTGTGGAAACCTCCTTGCCCAGTTATCTATGAGGGTCTCATAGTTCTCATAAATTTGAAGAAGCTCTTTCTCTCTGTTTCTTTGATACAAATGAAGAGAATATATATATATATATATATATATATATATATATATATATTTTGGTACTGGGGATCGAACTCAGGACCTTGAGCCTACGAGGCAGACGGTGGAGAAGAGAATATTTTTACAAGCCTTTTTCTTCTAGGTTTATTATTTTGGAGCAAACTATTTTGTATAATTTATCATTTCTTTTGTAATTTGCTCCACTGCCTAATCTATTTTTTTTTTTTTTTTTGGTACCAGGGATCGAACTCGGGTCCTTGCGCTTGCAAGGCAGGGGACGGAACCACTGAGCTAAATCCCTGGCCCTGCCTAATCTATTTTTTAAAAGTTATCTATAGTTGATTTTTAAAAAATTAACCTTTATACACATCTGGAGTTTATTTTGGTGTATGGTGTGAGGACAGATCTAAATGAATTTTTAACCATATTATTATTCAATGGTTCCAAAGTAATATGTTCACTATCCTTTCTTTTCATATTGCTTTGTAATACTTACAATGTAATTACTGTATTTTAAGAAACAGTGCCTATTATTTAGTATTTTTATAAAATGAGAAATAAATGGATTATTAAAATAATAAATACATTTAGCATTCAGGTACCAACCATTCAAAATATTATAATAAATAATAAAATTCTCCTACACCAATAGTGGCTCGTGTCTGTTATTCAGCTACATTCAGCCAAGCCTTAATTATCCAGGAAAAAGTGAAGGATATGGCGTTAATAATTGAATAACACAGAGTGCAAAATACAATAATCTTTCAGTGTGCTTCCATCGATCTTTCTAGTGGAACTAATTGCCAGAAGTAAAATGAATTGATGTAAATTGAGTTGTCTCTACTCATCTCCTAGTCTGCGTGCATGCTTAGTAGGGAGCCAAGGGTTGACAGTGTGGGGGAAGGGAGTAATAAGGGTGGATAAACCGTGCACCCCCACATATTCATCAAGGGAGGGAACTCACCTCCCACTGGGGAACTAGTGATACTCTCGCTAAGGTTGGTCCTAGATGTTTTGCTGCATTTATATCTGTCCCATCGCTACTGTCCTCCAGATTTTATCTTTTCTACATCACTCTAATTACTATCTCTATTTAATGATCACTAGGACTGAGAAAAACCCTCATGCTCACCCACTTTAAGGTGAAACTTCTTTGTTTATTCATTCGTGGCTATCAAAATGCCTGCTTTGAGACTGGAAACTATTTGGCAATAAAGATTTCAATAATCTGCACTACCTTACTTCAGTTTCACTGTTAACATTTTCAAGGAGAAATGAGGACATCTTTCAAATTTTTTAAATCTAGTGAAGTTTCCTCATAAGTGCCAAATGTAGGGACACATCTGTTTGTTACATATGTTATCCTTTGATGCACTGCAAGGCAGGATTAAAGATTAGCTCCCTGGTCCCAGAACTGATAAGGAAAACACTCCATTCAGTTTCTGGCTGGCGAATCTCTTTTCAGGCCAGAGCAACACCAGTCCTCAGCAGGCGATCCTGCAATCTGCCGAAGAGTTAGGCATCTGCTGAACCCTTGGAAGTCTTAAGCTGACTAGATCTTTTCTTAATTATTCCTGAAAGAAGCCTTTCTGACATCACATGATCATTTGGGAGACAAATTAAATGCAAGTCTGTAGAACAATGCACAAATGAAAAGGCTCCTTTAGCAGACATATTGGAGGTATCTGTTGCCCCTGTTTGTAAATCTGAATCTCATTTCGAGATTCAGATTTTGATGCATTTGGATATTGAGACCTCAAAAATATCCCCCAAATAAGTATGAGAATAGACAAGTCAAGACCCCCAAAACCAAACACAGTTTATTCCATAAGTAGATATAAGTAAGTTGTGTGTCTAAGCAGAGCATAGGGAATGTTAAAAAATAATAAAATATGGATATTAAGAAAAGTATTTTTTATTTTTCTATCTGTGCTAATCCTTATTCCTACTTTTAAAAGGAATAATACTGGTTAACATGGGTGTCACACGGAACAATTTTAATTTCTATAAACCTTAAAATCATAGAGGGGAACAGACATTGGAGGGTATTGGAATATGTAGGAAAGAGACACAAAACTGACAAAGAATTTCTACACTGAACAGAAATAGATGTTGTGGTAGACAAATCCTGAAAAGCACCTGGGATTGCTAGTAAACCCCAATATACTTATGAGGAATGAATACAGGAAGCTGGCATTTGGCTTAAGAGAATGTGCTTCAGAAACAGGAAGCAGAATGCACAATGTGACTGATGTCAACAGGCTGGTCTGAAAAGTTGTCAATAATTGTGACTAAAAGATAGATGGGTTTTTAAGGGAGGTGCAGAGAGTAAATAAATAAAACAATCTCATTTTTTGGCCTGTATTTTTTTCCTTCCAGAATTTCTTGATGAAAGAATACAAAAACAAAATCATTTAAATAAGACTACTATGATGCATATCAAAGGCCTTAAAAACAACACATCTTTTCTTTTCTTTTTGTTTTTGGTACTGGGGATCAAACTCGGGTCCTTGTGCTTGCGCAGCAGGCACCGAAACCCCGGCCCCAACAACACATCTTTTCAATCCAACTCTTCTAGGAATTTAAGGACTAATCAAAAATGTGTGCAAAAAAAAGTAACAGACAAAAGTTCATGGCAACATGCCTTCTGATCACTAAAAATACAAACAAATTGTCTAGCAATAGGGGATTGCTTGAACTTAATATTATGTAAGCCATTAAAATGATGCCAAATTATTATATTTAAAAAATGAAAAATATTCACAATATGAAGTGAAAAAATGTTACAAAACAGTATGATTTGATTTCTTAAAAAGTATGTACACATGCACAAATAGATAACATAATATGTTCCTTTCCCCCCCAGTGCTGGAGCTCAAACCTAGTGCTGTGGACCTAGGCAAGTGCTCTACCACTGAGAAGCCACCCCCATTTATATTCTTAAAGTTAATGGTGGTTATTCTCAAGAGACTGAGGACCACAGATTATTTTAATTTTCTTGGGCGGAACTTGCCTGTATTTTCAAAGCTTCATGCATACATTATTTTTGTTATCAAAATATTCTTTTAGAGAATAAAATGAAGCTGTAAAGAACAGCAAGGCTATGTGTTCCTTCTACTGGAAAACCATAATACTTGGGGTGAAGTATCTGAGTATACATGTTCTCTACCATGGAGGTTAAAAATTCACTACTTGAAAAGCTGTGAGATCTAGATAATAAGAGTCTCAAGATTGGTTAGATAATTTGTTTTTCAAAATGTGAGCTTTCTACACCTTTATCATAAGACAGTAATTCCTTTTTATTGTAATAAGGTAGTCCTGTCATCTTCTGGGCTATTACCACGTGGCTCCTGTATAGTTTTTTTCTTTCTTTTTTTTTTGTACCAGGGATCGAACTTGGGACCTTGCGAGGCAGGTGGCAGCACCACTGAGCTAAATCCCCGGCCCTTTCTAGTTTTGAATTAGTCCACTGGCCACCAAACTTTTTTGAGACAAGGTATTATGTTGCCTAAGCTGGCCTCAAACTCCTGGGCTCAAGTGGTCCTTCTGTCCATACCTCTGAGTAGCTGGTACTATAATGTGCCACTGAGCCCTACTTTAGTCATCAGTAATACAGATTGCATATTACTGTCAGTAAATATATATAGACTATCTGTAAAAAAATTTTAAGCATGCACTTACAACTTGATTTATTTATAAATGATATACCTGCACAACTATCTTGGAATATCAGCTATATCTGAAGAGATGCATGAAAATAGAAATTTGAAATGATGAGATAAACAGGAGCTCTAAGACAAGCTCTTCTTGTAACTCTTGGATTGTCTTGTATGTATTCTATTTTGAATACCATTAGACTGGAAAACCACAAAAGATGGGCTCCAGAAGATCCAGCAAATGTAAATTTCCTTTTTTTTGGGTATCAGGAATAGAACTTGAGACCTTGTGCTTGCAAGGCAGGAGGCGGAACCACTGAGCTAAATCCCCAGCCCCAGCAAATGTAAATTTGTTCCATTCAGAAGGTCCAAAAGGATAGGTAGTCATCTGACCAAGGTTTAAATTTACCCACATGTTATAGATTATCCAGTTTGGGCCGGGGATTTAGCTCAGTGGTTTCACTGCCTGCTGGGCAAGAGCAAGGACCCGAGTTCGATC